AGATATACAAAATTCTCAACTAGTAAATTAATAAAGAGGTCACAGTGGCAAAGCTAATAGAGACGAACAAATAAAACCAATGGCAACGCGAATATACACCAATAACTAAGTGATCATAGACAAAGAATTGAAAAGGGCAACTAGTTTAACATGGAGAAGAAAAGACATTCCAATAAAATCTGCCCCTTTATGCTCTTTGTTTTCTTGGGCCACTCACCCCGCCACATGCACAAAGACACATACCTGCAACCATATGGACAGCACCCTAGATTGTGCTTCCCAAACTATAGCGTTCACCCAGATTACCTGGGGATCTTGTCAAGATTCAGTCTGATGTGTAGCTCTGGGGTGGGGCTTACAATCCTATTTGTAACCAGCTCCTTTACGACATCCTGCTGGTGGTCCAGTGGCTATGATGTGAGTGGTCAGCCCTCGGTCAGGGGTGGGGTGGAGGTGATTAAATTGGGGACCAAGGGTCAATGGAAAATGAGACCATTCCTCCAGGATGCAGGCCAGCAAAAGAAAGTGGTGATATATTTGTCTATGATGAAGAAGATTCAAGGGGCACCTGGGTGGCTCAGTCAGTTGAGCGTCTTGCTCTTGATTTGGGCTCAGGTTATGATTTCAAGATCCTGGAATTGAGCCCCTAGTCCAGCCCTGCGGTCAGGCCCCAAGATGAGTTTGGAGCCTACTTGGGATTCTCTCTCTCTCTCTCTCTCTCTCTCCCCTTGTAGATTTGTGATTTAAAAGAAAAGAAAGAAAATTCGAGAATCTCTCAGAGGAAGTGTTGTGTAAAAAAGGTAACCTTGAATCCATCTGCGCAATGGTAATGATAGCAACAAAGCATGTTTAAAATTTTGCAGCTCTGAGGATAATCCAGTGTTCATGAACTAACTTCAGGAGCTGAAAACGAAATAGCCAGATACCTAACCGATTAGAAAAATGAGGTAAACTTGTTTTTTACCTGTACAAAATCTGAATCTCTGCTACTTTAGATATTCATCTTAAAAGGGTTAGGATACTTTGTGACCTAGATGGCTGATTTGTGCACGACAGCAACTATGTTTCTTTACCCTCTGGTTTCTGGAAGAGATAAGCAAGACATCTGAAGCGGGGGAAGGGTGGGGGAGCGGGGAATGAGAGTATATTCTTATTCCTCTTGGCTCCCTTCCTACAAAACTGGGCAGAAACTGCCTTTGTCTACCGACAGCCACAGCTCCTGTCCGACAGCCGTCTCCTGTGCTCACTGCTCTCTTCAAACCCTGCTCTCCTCCTGCCTCTTCTGAACTAGGAATAACAGCCCAGCGTCCTTCACCATTCTTTGTTGATATCCCTTAACCCTGCTCACAACTTTGGAAACAGTCCCTCTATTGTTTAACTGTCCCAAATAATCCAATGGCAGACAGCTGAGAGTCTCTTCAGGGACTCGCTGCCCATGTGTGGAGTGTGGGTATCTAATAGCCTCCAGGGATGAGCTTCATCAGGGTCCAGTTCAGCGATCCATCTTAGGTCACGCTGGTCTTAGGGCAGGTGCTCAGTCACTGAGCAAGGCAGCTGTCAAGGGCCTGGTCATTTGACCCAATCAGGAATTTCTGTGGTAGACAGTGTGCCCAGAGTTCCCCATTGGGCTGGCAGGGTCTTCACCTCTCTCTCACTGGTCTAGAACCCGGATTTAAATGCAAAGGTACGCTTTTTCCAGGAACCGTACAGGGGGGTTGCAAATCGGAGACGTGCCCTCGACCTGACTACTGTCTCTTTGGCAATTCAAACCACAAGGGAGAGCTTCTACTTTCTAAAATTAATCACCAAAGTAATCTGGATGTTCATAAAGTAGTCTGAACTTGTTACCAAATAGGTTAAGAAGGCTGCCTGAATGGGGGAAACTACTCTCAGGAATACGTCCAATGGGACCGCAGAGCTGGAGCCAATCATGTGCAGGCAGGTCACACGACGAGTCAGCGAATCACAGGCCGCGAAACGCATTCCTCATTTGCATACCGCTGACTACAAATAGGCGGGAGCCTGGCGCGGACTCCATTTTCTCTTCACTCGGAAGAAAGCGGAGTTGAGATGCCTGAGCCCGCGAAGTCCGCTCCCGCCCCGAAGAAGGGCTCCAAGAAGGCGGTGACCAAGGCGCAGAAGAAGGACGGCAAGAAGCGCAAGCGCAGCCGCAAGGAGAGCTACTCGGTGTACGTGTACAAGGTGCTGAAGCAGGTGCACCCCGACACGGGCATCTCGTCCAAGGCCATGGGCATCATGAACTCGTTCGTCAACGACATCTTCGAGCGCATCGCGGGCGAGGCGTCGCGCCTGGCGCATTACAACAAGCGCTCGACCATCACGTCCCGCGAGATCCAGACGGCCGTGCGCCTGCTGCTGCCCGGGGAGCTGGCCAAGCACGCCGTGTCCGAGGGCACCAAGGCCGTCACCAAGTACACCAGCTCCAAGTGAGTGCTGGGAGACACGATCCAACCCAAAGGCTCTTTTCAGAGCCACAGATTTTCACCACCGGAGCTGTGCGCTGACACGCGCTGGGGTCTTTTTGGGCATTCAGGTTACTGGGAACACACGGTACACCGTGACATGTTGTCGGCTTTGGGTGGGAGATTTCGTCGTGGCCTGTAAAGACGTCCTCACCGGCGAAAACCCCGCGGGCAGAACAGCTAGCGCTCCCTCCCTGGGCCGTTGCAGCTCCAGATCGCCTTCCTTAAAAGACGCACAGGCGCGGTGGCTACTGGCGCCGCGTCTCGAAGCAGACCCTGGTGTCCACTTTACGGCAAGTATCACCCTAGGGGTGTAAGCAGCCACAGTAACATTTGAAAAGCCCGCCATCTAGAGGCGGGACTTCCTCTCCCGGTGCCGCGGGGACCACAGCCCAGGCTCTTTGTGTGGGTCGGCCCCTCCCTCGCACTGCCCTTCCCCCACCCGTTTGCTCAAGGCTCCCTGGGTCCTGCTTAGGCGTGTACCACGGGCCTTTAAAATGTGTGTCTTCACCGGCTGCCGCCCTCCAGTGAGGACACTTACCAGTTTTTGATCGTGCTTTACCTCTTTCTTAAGTTGCCCTCAAAAGGCTCTCGTCATTACATTTGATGTTTACACTGTAATGTGACAATACATTCCTCTCCCACTCCCATCCGTGACTCCCAGGTGACCGCCAAAAACAATTCTGGATATTCAAGCGCCAGAGTCTCCTTACTAGTGCAGCCCCAGAATATGAAGTTGGCACAGCAGCCCCCAGTCCCTCCTCTGTCACTTGCGAGTTTACCCCTAAACCATCCACCTGTTCTGTCTCCAGCTCTGGTCCCCAGCTCAGCTGAGCAAATGGGCGATCCGGGAGAACACGGGGACCCAGGGGAGGTCAGAGGGTGGAGAGCAGGAAACGTGGACTCAGGATATGCGTTTTACTGACCTGATGCTGGACACCAGGACCCAGAGGGCTAGGGGTTGTGATCACGTGATGCCAAAGAGCCTAAACCCAGAAAATTAAAAGCAGAATCTGTCTCCCCTCAATCAGCAAACATTGTGACCTGAGGCTTCTTTCTGGGGAGTTAGCTGAGAAAGGTTGGGCTGGCAGCACCTTACTAATGAATGGAAATAAAACTGTACTCAAGAATCGCTACCTCTATCCTCCAGAAATTTCTAGCCAGCCTTCCCAGCCAGTCTATTTTATCTCTATTCTCTCGCAGAGGCAAAATAAACACACCAAAAAAGAAAAGGAAAAAAAGAAAAAAGAAAACAAAACAAAACAAGTAATTGTTTTCATTGCCAAGTTACAACTGCATTTCAACTTTTTATGATCACCTTGATTTCAGTTTGAGGTAATACTAAAACTCCTCTG